TGCATTTTACATAACGATTGAATTGAATTTCTAATTGCCAATTGCTGCGGCACAATGATTTTGCACATAAATGAATAATTCTAAATGGATTTCGAAACGCCAAGAGTGGAAAAACAGACGAATGGAAAATTTGTAAATGCCCGCGGCGCACATCTGTTACCACCACTGACGAATAGAATTTTGCTAAAAATTAGTGATTCCATTCAAACAATTGAATGTGCAGTTTCAGGCATCGCATATTTCGAAATATTTCTGATTTCCGACACCACATCACGTTTGGAATGCTAGAAAATGCTAAATATACAATATTCGTTCGAAATAATCAGGATTATGATGCAAACGTTTAACGCTTTTTGAACTGCCTTTGGGGTATAGAAAGCAACAAACATAGAGGCTCTTTTATCTACCTGCATTGCCATTTAAGATCATAAAGGGCTATCAGCTTACAGCACTTTCAAAACATCAGAGCTGGCTTTAGAAACTCCATTAATGGTGAATAGATGGTGGCTACTTAATGCCCTTCAGATACATTTTAAAATGAATTACTTTCTGTTTAGATTTAAATTGTTACATAGCTATGTGTCATTAATAAATTTGTATTTACGCGAAATGTTCGAACAACCATCGTATTTAAATTTGAAATATACCACATTTATATATTACCAAAATATCTACAACGCTTAAACCAAATTTTATTCAAATTTGAATGTCGTTGACCGTAAATAATTTGATGTATTTTACTTTATTCTTACGTGGGCTCGTGGATACTGCCATTTTTATTAAAAGTACTTAATAAGTGCCCAAAAACCAAATCTTTGCCATAAGCACCTTACCCAAGCACGTACAGGAAATTTGAAGCTGCCGAGACACGAAAACCAAACCTGTTTTTTAACCGAGAAAAAAGGGGGAACGGCGCGGCAGGCGGCTATCAAAAAACTTTTATCACAAAGAAAAGCTAAACCAGTCAACGGGTTTATTTTGGGCCTCTGTGGATGGCTAATTTGTCCAGGGGTTCCGATACTCCAGACGCTGCATCCTTGCATGGAAGGAGAACCGATATCTGAGCATCATCTGATTTGCAGGCTGACCACTTTTTTGATCTTTTGCGCACGAATTAACTTCAAACAGGCGTGAATAATGCCCAGCTGATCTTTTGTCTCTGGTTTTTTAGGGAATCTGCGATCTGAAAATTCATTTGCCCCAGTGCGAGCGAAAGATGCCACATTAAAGTGCCGCCTGACTACCCAGCAGCTCCCCCGGATTTCGCCCATCGACAACCAGCTTTATGACATGTGCGGTCTGAGTTATGACCGGCTCTTGATTTTTTGCGGCATGTGCGGAGCTTGAATTTCTGTATGCCCCCTGCCAGCCGCACATATATTTCAGATGGCTGATAGTTTAATTGGTCTGGACTTTATGTGCTTTGTGCTTTGCGGTTTTGTTTGCCCTCGTCTCGGCTGTTTTTGTGCCTCTTTTTTGCTTTTCTCCAGCAGCTTCTGGTCTTAGACTGAGGCGTAATGAAGACGTCACATGGCAGGCATACTCATATTAATGCTAATTGATTATGCCAAAGTTCCTGAAATAGTTGGGCGGCTCTGGAACTTATCGTGATCGTGCAGCCAAAACAATTAAGGGAAAATTCTTAGCTATATCAATGTTTGACCCAGAGAAATCTTGAAATATACCAAAAAGCCCACACACCCGGTCACAGCGTTTGAAACAATAAATAGCTTAGACTTGGGTATTAGTCACCTACTAAATCATTAGCACGATCACAAAGATCACAAAGAGCTAAAGGTAATTGAGACATTTAAGGCACAACAGGGCCTCTATTTCACCAGAAAGATTTAAGGCCCATGGATTTATAATCTTGTGACAAATCTGTTAAAATAGCCTACCAAAAATTCCCAATAAAATCTAGAAATCCCACACTCAATTAAATTGATTAACGCTGCCATAAAACGAAAACATCAAAATGTAGGGAACGGACAAACAAATCTTTGCTAATAAAACGCATAAGCAAAAACAGAAATGGATTCATGGAGTAAACTTTTTATGGTCCGAATGGCAGTCTAGCTGGTAACGACAAGTGTTTTGCAGTTTTAATAGAGACATAAAACAAGTGATATAAATACGGGAATTTACTATGCTGTTCCTTCCCCTGTAATTTGGTAAATAAACCGAGACCACAAGAAAAGTGGGACACAACGAATATATATGCGGAAAAGGCGCCATTAAAATCTAAAACAAAGCATTTTCATTGTGGTTGAGGTACGGGTATAAATTTCGGAAAACATTCGGCCAAACAAAACAGAAAAAGTCATAAATAGTTTTCATTTCATTAGCTGCGCTTTGTGAATTGGACCGAAATCCAGGCAACCACTGCAGCAATTATGAAAAATGAAAATGCAAGCGTACTGAAATAATAAACATTGCCTTTTGTTTACTCAATCAGATAAACCAAAGAGTCCAAGAAGAGTGCATAAACAAAAGCAAACACCTGTAATTGAACTTTGGACCTTATTTCAAATTTGCGTAAACAATTGCAGAGCGGACGTCACAACAATCACGAAATCCTCCAGCCACAATTTATTTAAAACTCAAACATACTCAAACAACTCGAGCCACTCGAATGCGGTATTTAATTAATGGCTTTTTATCAAGACTGAATAAATATTCAGTGATTTAAAATTTGCATAAATTGAAATAAATAAAACCAAATTAGAAAAAATACGGCATTTCAACCAGCCAGAGCATTAAATATTCAGAGTAAAAGTCAACGATTTTGTTTATGTTCAGCTGGCAGATAGTGTTTACACATTTGTGGCTACTTCAGAAAAGGCACAGGCCCTGCGAAGATGGCTGTCAAATAAAGTTTACACTTTTACTGGCATTATGATATGCCACAGGCTATAAAATCTGGAGCTGGAATTTGAAAATGTGGCCGAAATAGAGAAAAATTATAGAAAGCGCTACTGAGATAAAACTGTCTAGGAACTTTTATTGGCCAGTCAACAATTGTTTCTTTGAGCAGTTTTAATAAATACGTACAAAGATTTAAATTACATTTTTTTTTTGTATGTCATTCTGTATGGCAAAAAAAAATGTATTTAAGCAACATGTTTAGCATTGGAAAAAGCAAGTGTGCACCGAAAAAACTAGGCTGCTTGAAAACCAAACCATAAATACAATAAATTCTTAAATACGTTAAATCCTGTGTATGAAACAGTTTTTCCTCCTGACATACTATTAAAGCATTTTTTCTTCCCAAGTAATATAACTGGCCTAATGATCTGAAAGAAGGCAATAACTGCTACTCAAATTGAGCAAGGAAGGGCAATTAAAAATAGCTTGCAATTTATCAAGCCAAGTACCAAGAGTTCAAGTAGGCTGAGAACAAAATACTCCCATCGCGACCGAGTAATTTATATTCAACTTGGCCCATTAAGGATACAAATCTGAAAGAATCACCGAAATGGGCCGCCCTCGCATCCGAAATAATAGAATAATCTGTCTGTTTTCCATTGGACACGCAACCTCATGAGGCTCATTTTCATGTTCTGCCTTTCGCCGCACTATTCATTTAAGCATGTTTTTCGTTTATAGCGCGTACAACTAATTAAGCTATTTTTAAAGGCGGCGAATTTTCCAACGCACGCACAGCGCATTGGCAGGGGGCGTGGCCACGCCCTACTCGTCACTATGTCTGGCTAGATCGCGTGCGGAAAAGAGGGGAAAAGGGAAAGGGGAGTGGCGGGCGCGGCAGCTGCGCTCAATTAATGTCATTTTCGCTAGCCATTTCAATTTGGAATACATTTAATACTCACTGCAGACAGCCTCGCCGAAAGCAAACCACAAATCTTTTGAATATCTATATCATAAACACTGTCATTTGACATTGAACTCATGCTAGAAGTCACGCCCACTTGGCTTCTTTTCGCTTCTTAGAGACTCAACGAATTTGTTTCTTGTTTAATTAATGGCCGCCAAAACAAAATTCAAACACTTTTCAACAGCCACACATACAGAACTCATCAAGACATGTACTATATTGAATTTTTTTGTTTTTTCGCCTGCAATTGGCAATTTATGGCCTCCTTCAACATTTTATCGGGTCTTATTTTAGACGTGACTGGCACGAGCTGGATTAGTAGTTAAATATATCCAAAGTACGTATATATGAGCAACGCGATACGGCAAAGTTGAAGGAATACCGTCTGACCTGGGTTTATGTGTCCCCAGGGTAGAATTTTATGCGCTGTTTTTCCTCGGTTTGGGTTTTATGGCCGACGATGCACTTTACACCTCGGCCATTAAATCATTCATTAAAAGCGAGGGGAAGCCTTATTAGTCCTACAGATTAGACAAATTTCAATCAACCACGTCAAAGATTTATGGGCGAAATTATGAGTAGTGACCTAAATATAGGAACCAGAAATACATAGTTGTTTATAAACTTTATGTTACAGATTAGACTAATTTGATTAGGGTGCGCGTGTCGAAAATTTATGAATAATAACAGAAGCACAATCCCTACAAGCAAAACTTTACAATGTTAAATATTTCCCATTCTGGACGAATTTCTTTAGCACCTTGCGTTTGCGTAAACAATTTCTGAGTTTTGAAGGCGCCAACCGAAAGGCTGTAAACAAAACATTTTGTTTTGTCTAATTAAAGCTCACAAAAATGGGTATACATTTAGGAAGAGTTCTATATTAGAAAAGCCTTCTATATATCGCTGGGAAACACTCCAGCGCATATTTTTATACGAATATACAGCAAACACCGAGCTAATAAATTTATTGATGCGCCGTAAAAACAAGTTTCGTACGCCCCAAAAAATGTATGAATGGTAATTCCAATAAAAACACAAACGCAAATATAAATCATTAAATACAGCATTTCGCCAATGGGTGTGCTAATTTGCATTGGCGCCAAGGGATGGAAGAATTAAATAATGTTCTACGCTTTGGGAATTAATTAGGGGCTTTGGAGCTTACCTGATCTTGACAAAAGTATCCGAATCCGATGATACCGGCGATGGCCAGGAAGAGACAAAACACAATGATTGTTCGGATTTTGGAGCGCGGTTCCATTTTCTTGATTTCATAAACTCCACTGGGTAGCAATAAGGCAAAATCACTATCGACTTGAACAGATACGTTCTTATGCATATCCCCGGGCATGTTCCATTCCCCTGGCCTCCCTCGAAAGTCGCACTAAAGGTCCATCAAGGTTCCACCCGAGTGGAGTATCCGTATCGGCCTACCGCAGCTACAACCAGACGCGAATCGGAGGCGAGGCCAACTCAATCATACTTCAGGCGCTGCCCGATAAGAACTCTGGAAATGGGAACACCTTCGCCCATCGTACTTGGCGCGGAAATGGGATTTCCTTGTCTCTAGTTTTTCAGTGCCTGCAATGGAGTAAGAATGGAAAACTGTTAGAAACCTATTAGTTTTGGGAGCACTACAAAGCAACACCGTGACCGATTAGTTACCACTTGACCATACCGATAAGGCGGTCTGTCAAATTGTCTATCCCTTATCTAGCCACTTATTTAGGAGCTGAAAGCTCTTCAAGTGAAAAGCAAAAATAGTTGAAGGGAACTTAATTCTGTGGCTGACTGATAAGAAGTTCACATAGAACATAGTTCTCATTAAAGCGCACAAAGTTTATAGTGGACTTTCTATTTTTTGTTAGGGTCAAAACTGATAACAAAGGGGAAGTTGATTTATCGTTTAATCTGGCGCTATTTTAATTGCATATCTATTAGTAAATATTGAAGACCGGACGCAAAATTCTGGGCGTGGCAGTTTTTCGCGGTTTGTGTCCGTTAGATTGGACGTAGCAAAATGTTTTTTGGCTAATCAATAGAATGCGGGCTTTACAGTGCGGGGGATAGTATATGAAAACAAACTTGCTCTGGAAGCTGTCAGCTTAATCTCAACTTTCTAGCTTTTATGGTTCCAGATTTCGAGGCATTCATACGGACAGACGAACGGACGGACATACGGACATGGCCAGTTCGAATCGGCTATTGATCCTGATCATGGTCGGAAAGGCCTCTTTCTGCCTTACATACTTTTCAACGAATCTAGTATACCCTTTCATTCTACGAGTGGGAATATCTTATTTTATTTGCGTGGGAAATCTTCAGTTTTATATGGCACGAGCAAATGTGATTTGTACAGCGAAACGATAAAAGTCATAAATCAGATATGTGTACATATGCACACACAAGAGAATAGGTGAGCCGAATGCAATGCATTTGGTATACCCTTAATTTAAAAAATAAAACGATTATTATTTAAAGTCATGATAAAATGCACATACAGGTACAATTACTCAATTAACAATAACATGTTTTAGTTTGAAAATGATTTTGTACACGATGACATTTAATTTAATATTTCAACTTTCTAGTAAACATTGTCATACACAAAATTGTCTCAGAAAATTGTCAATAGTAAATATACGTTTTTATTACATTTGATAACGACGCAACATATAATAAGCAGCCTTTGTTATATGTAGGGGTACCGCAGATATCAATTAGATTGTTATCATAAGTCTCTTTATCTGGGTTTGATATTACTTTTTATATGTGATAAGTCCGCTTGGAAATAATAAATATAATAAATTGGCTTCACGTAGGGTATTTAAATGTAGAAACACCAAACTAAACCGACCGGAGATAGGAAGTCCGAGTGACGCCTAGGCAAAACTGGTGCTTTACATTCAAGAAGGCGATTCAATTTAGCGATCTTTGCTTCTGTAGCGATCACAATTATTGTAAACAAATGGAAAAGTGGCTCATTGGCAAATTGGAAAACAAAGAGTGACAAGAAGAACAAGGCAAATGTGGCGAAACATGTTGCCAGGCAACAATAACAAAGAAGCGGGCATGCTGTTCACACATGGTCGTTTAATTCACTTCTGTGTACTTTAAACTATACTTAAACCATGCTAATTGTCTGCACAACTGATTAGGTTTTTCAACGCACTGACGTCAGGGCAAAGAGTATAATTATAATAACATTTAGCAACATTGCATACAAAAAAAGAAGCATAGGGGAGCAACAAAAACAGAGAGAGGGCAAAAATGAGGGAGAGAGAGAGAGGGCAACCAGACAGAGCGAGATGCCAAAGAACAGCTGTTCTTCTTGCCAAATGCGAAATGGGCAATTCAAACAAATTTAGCCAGATTTCACTCACTTTTCACTTGCCAAATGGCGTGTTTGTTCACTTCTCACGATTTTTGCACAGTCACACGTTTATTTATTTACATTTCTCTGCGTTTTAGGCGTTCGCACGCTCAATTACCGCGCTTTCCCTTTTGTGCCACACATTCTGTGACAGTCACTAAAAAGCCCGCAATTCGCGCTTTGGTGTGTTTTCAGCAATTCCAACGATCGTTTTCCCTGCACTTGCACTGCTCAACAGCTAATGTTTTGCAAATTGACACTTTTTAAGCGTTTTGCGTGTGTTTATTACGAATTTTTTTGGCAAAACTACGCGGTGCCAGCGTCAGCGTCCGTATTCTTCAAAATCGGCGAATGAACTGAACAAAACGAACTGCGCAAGTTGGGCAATAGGACCAGCTGATCGCGCTGCCAGACTGTTGCACGGATACTTGCTGCAAGAGTCTGGCAGCACTTCCAACCATCGATAAAAACTGTTGGTGACGAATATTCAAGGAATTAACTCTATAATTCCGCTGAAAACGCGAATCAATGCATACATCAAATAATAGGTTAACCAATTAAAAATATTTATTTAAGTTAAGTTATAAATATCTAATAAATCAGATGAATTATTTTATTTCAAAAACAGGGTGCAAGGCTTACAAAATAAAGAAACAAATTCCTTAGACAAAATGTACATGATTTATATTCCATTTTGTGAATTTTTTTGATTTAATTTATTTGGCTACCTTAGCAATTGCCAAACGATAACTACAAGTTGACTATCGATAGTAGCACAGCGATATCCAAAACAAACGAATAAAGAAGAAGAGCGGTGAAAAACCGACAACATAGTTTACGTTTTTTGCAACAAGTTTTCCAGCTTAAAGCCAACTTTCATCCTCCGGACTGACAATGGAGGTGGACCAGATTCCCCTGGCCGACGTGGTCTTCATCATAGAGGGCAGCGCCATCAACGGAGCCTACATAAACGAGCTAAAGACCAATTACATCCTGCCGACTTTGGAACACTTCACCACAGGCTCCATCGACGAACGGGAGTACCTGATTGCGGAGCGCTTTGCCACTCTGTACGGTATCGTGGTCTACCGTACTGCGGCTAATCTTCTGGAGCCTGTTTGCTCCACTTATGGACCCTTTCTGCAGCCACAGAAAGTGATGGAGACGATAGAAAGATTGCCATTGGTGGGAGGCGGAATGGAATCCTGTGCGCACATGGCCGAAGGGTTTGCTGCGGCCCACGGCTGTTTTGATGACATCAGCGAACGGCGCCAGCTTCTGGATCAGACCAGCGTCCAGAGGCACTGCATTCTCATCTGCAACAGTCCGCCATACCAGATGCCCACAACGGAATCGTGGAAGTATCCGGGCAAATCCTGTGAGCAGCTTGCGGCACTCTTCAATGAGCGCAAAATCAATCTCTCCATTATTGCACCACGCAAGATGCCGGTGTTGTTTAAACTCTTCATGAAGGCTGACGGAGATCAGCCCATTACGAGCAAAAACTATGCCAAGAACATCCGACACCTGGTGCTACTAAAAGGATACAGCCTCAAGGAGCGAGCACCGAGTCCCAATAGCATGGCGGCCCAAATGGCCGCTCCCAATGCGGCACCAGCTGCAGTGCAGCAGCAGCAACAACAGCAACAAAATCCAGCTGCCCAGCAACAACAAGGCCAGGGCATGCCCATGGACACCACACCAGCCCAGCAGCAGCAGCAGCAACAACAACAGCAGCAGCAGCAAGGCAATCCTCAGCAACAGGTCATGAACATGAATACGATGCAACAACAGCAGCCCGGTCCAAATCCCCCAGCGGGCTTACTCAATCCGCAGCAGCAGCAGCAACTTTTGCAACAGCAGCAGCAGAATCAATTTGTCACCAATCAGATGCAGAATCCGAACTTCCAGCAGAACGTGGGACCCGGTCAAAACCGTTGGATGTATCCCAACCAGCCGGGTCAGGCGCGTCCGCCCTTCATGCAGGGAGCAGGCAATGTGGGCGGTGTAGGCCAAGGCGGTGGCATGCAACAGAACCCAAATTCTGCTCTGATATCGCGCATTAATGCGCCGCCGCCGAACCAAACTGTAACATCGCTACAGCAGCAGCAACAGCAGCAGGCGCAGCAGCAACAACAACAGGCCCAACAGCAGCAGCAACAAAGGATGCAGATGCTAAACCAGCAGCAGATGCTAAATCACCAGCAGCTGCAGCAGCAACAGCAACTGGCTCAGCAACAGCAGCAGCAAGGACAGCAACAGCAGCAGGGAAATCCCAATGCAGGCAACAATATGATGCCGGCTAGCAATGCCGGCAACATGCCTAATCCACAGCAACAGCAACAAGTGGGACAGCAGCCCAATCCCCAGCAGCAAGGCAATCCGCAGCAGCAACAGCAGGGAAATCCGCAGCAGGAGCAGGCCTCCTTGAGGGAAAAGATCTGGACCGGACTGCTGGAGTGGTCAGAGAAGCCGAAGTCAGATCAGCAGAAGATTCCTCACACACTCCAGTGCACCGTGTGCACCAACATCAAAGATGGCGAGCCCGAGATCAAGGCTGAGAACTGGCCGCCCAAGCTGTTGATGCAGCTAATGCCCAAACACCTAGTTGGCAATATCGGTGGTCAGTTTCTCAAGGATTCTAAAATGGTTGTTTTTCGACCCACTCCAGGAGAGGCGCTTGACTCGCTGGCTAAGATGATGACCTCCGGCTACGCTGGCTGCGTCCACTTCTCCTCCATCCCGAACTCGCCTGCCTGCGACCTTAAGGTTCTCATCCTGCTCTACACGCCCGATCGAAACGCTTTTCTGGGTTTCATTCCCAACAATCAGGCAATGTTTGTGGAGCGTTTGCGCAAAGTCATACAACAAAAGCAGCACGGCAGCATGCAACAGCAGCAGCAACAGCAGCAAATGATGCAGCAGCAGGGCAAGTCGCCCATGGAGCTACAGCAGCAACAGCAGCAGCAGCAACAGATGCAACAGGATAACTCGCAGCAGCAACACTACAACCAGTTCCAACTCAATATGCAGATGGGTGGTGGAGGTCCTGGCGGCGGACCGGGTCCTGGGACCGGCGGCATGCCCATGCAACAGAATCAAATGCAGATGAACATGATGCAGCAACAGCGGATGCCGCTGGGCGTGGGCGTAGGCGTGGGCGTTGGTCCCGGTGGCGTGCCCAATCCCAATCTCCAACAGCAGTTGCAACAAGTTGCGCCAAACGTCGCCGCCATGCAGCAGCAGCAGGCGCAACAACAGCAACAGCGTATGGTGCGTCCCATGATGAGCAACAACAACCCGGGGCTGCGCCAGCTCTTACAGCACCAGACCACGCCAGGAAATCAGTTTCGGCCGCAAATGGGCGGCCAGAATCCCAATCAAATGGGAGCAGGCGGCCCAATGGTCGGCAACCGTAACTTTGACGACGGAAACTATGAGTTCATGTAGGCTACTTTAAAATATCGTATTGAAAACCAGGATAAGACAGTAAAATATTTCATAAAATCCAACTGGAAGTCTATTTTGGGGCAGTGCCGGAACTCTTATGCATTTTATCGTCTTTTAGGCCCAACACATTTTCTTGTTTGCCCAACATTGAAACATACAACCGTCAATAATTTCGTCAGTTTTATAACATTTCGTTTATATAATTAGTAAGAATCAAAGGTGAATCCGAATTTTACATAAGGCTTATATTAATCACAGAACATAATCTCCGAGGGAACCACTCTAATTTGCTCCACCGCCGCCGCCCCCTGAGGATGCGGAACTTGCACTTCCGGCACTAGCGGCAAACACCTTTCGAAGATTCTGCAAGATGCTGAATAGAACAGTTCCCGCGCTGCCCAACGTTTCCAGAACATCGAACCCGGTGCTGTCGATAGCTGTCTCCCGATCCTCCTCCGTTTCGATGGCCGGAGAGCTGATGTTCCCGCCATTGTGATGAGGTTCGTGGACGCCATGGTGTCCAATCAGCCTATGGGTATTGCTCTTGACATGGGAGTCGTTCACCCCGCCGCCGCCCACTGTATTTATCAAGTGCTTCACCGGCTCCAGGACCGGAATATTCAGCTTTATGCGATGCCATGCATCCGCCGACTCGGTGAAGCCCTCATGCTGCTCCCCAGTGGCCTGCATCTCATCATCCAGCTGGTTCCGCTCACTAACCGGATCGTCGTCCGTCTCCAAGGACAGCTCCAGACTCATGTTCCCCTTACCAGGCAGCTGCAACAAACTGCCGAAAAGCTGTTGCAACTGCGCCGAGTTGGTGGCTTCCGCCTCACTCTGCTCGAAATCGAACTCCTCACGGACTCCCGACTTGGGTTTCTGGTTCACGAAGCTGGTCACATGTTGCATTCCATTGCTGGAACTAGAATCGCTGGAGTCGGTTGGTTTGGCGGACGTCGTCGTCAGCAGCAGCAGCCACAAAACCTGCAGATATTTTCGGAGAAATGGAATCTATAATTGGCGCTTAATGACCGGCTACACGTTCGGTAATGAATATTGAATGTGACCGGTAATAAGGCTTTCTATATTCAAATCCCGGCGCGCACACGTCTCTGGACCTTGAATTCGTTCCATAAGATATGACAGTTTTACTAATGGAATCAAATAGAATGGGTTTTGAAATTATGACGTGCCTGTATAACATGATCCAGCAGCTCTCTTGCACGCAGAATTATTTAAATACATCAAAGTAATAACAATAGGTGAATAAATGTACATAATAATACCTAATTAATTTAATGAATTACTTTATACTAGAAAATTTGTCGTTAGAATATTACAGATTGGTACAGAAACCAGCACGAATACAATGGAATATTCTTAAAAAATTCTTCACTCTTGCTTAGGATTTTTCTCATATCTAAGGCGTTTTGTACTATACTTTGCGAAACCTTTAAGGGATTTAATAATACAATGATTTAAACACAATGTAGAATAATTAGAAGCTTTTAAATCGTTGAAAACTGTTTTATCACATCCTCCATTATTAGCGATCTGTAACCCTAATCGTGGGACTGAACTGATCCGTCCTTATGCAGAGACAATGTGATGGCTAGAAGCATCCAGTTTCGTTTTATTCAGGTAAAACTCATGCCGCTGAGTCTAGTTATCATAGTTTCGAGTTAGAAACCCTAGCGATTATTAATGCATTACGTCGATTTCTTAAATTTCAGTGGTTGAACTGCATAGACTTAAAGAATCAAATGTTACATGTGATTAAACTTCTTAGCCAGGCTAAGAGCTAGAGTCTGAAGACTAAACCTTCGGGAAAACAATAAAAATATCATAGATCTATACGAGGGTGATCCCTAATCTGCAACCAAACTCTATGACCCTGATCCGCCAATTTCCTTCAATAGTTCATGAGTCACCATTTGTTTTAAAAAACCCCACATTATGAATTAGGACTTCGCAAAGTTCCCTATAAAGCGACAATGCCAAGTGTTTGCTTACATTTAAAAATACAATAAGACATATGGAACTAAGTGTGGAGCTGCCCAATCGCAACATTGTCAACGAAATCACGGATCTAGCTCTGCGCTAGAAATCGAAACTAAACCGAACTGAACCGAAGCAAAAACAGTAACCGCTGCCAGCAAAAGCCAAAACCGAACTGAAGCACCAATTACTTGGGTGAATAAGTAACGCAGCTGAAGGCAGTGAATCAATTAATATGCAGCAGCGGTAATAACGATTGTAGTACCTAAATTTTATTTAAAATGCATTCAGAGGCCCCCAAAAAAGTCGGTTCTTCGGGTTTGGAGGGCTGGCATTTATGGGATCATATCTGCACCGAAATGTTGCAGTAGTCCATTTTTCCAAGGACAGTAGGCCTACGATTTTAGTTCTCCATTTTCCCTGGTGTACTGACTCAGTCTGAAAACATAGCCCAGAGCTACCACACAACCTTTTGTAAACCTTCGAAAACTCCACCAAAATTCCAAATTCAAAGTTTTTAGTTTTGGGCCTTTCAGCACAAGTGAGAAATTAAGTAGTATGCGCATATTTGGCAGAGTAACAAACTTTTTACAGGTAAGTACACTTCATCCAAATTATTCTGAAGCCAGTGAAACACCAAAATTAGTAGGCCCTTAAATTCTACGTTGAACTTCTGCCAGGCTTGTAGGTTATTTTCCCTTGCTACGTCTTACACTCTACACAACATTTTGGTTTCTTTCCTTTTTTCGAAACTGAAATTCTACCGTGATAACTTATGTATTCTTGATCGAGTAAAAAATTTGTACATAAAGAAAAAATGCCAGGAATATTCGGGAAGTTCCCGACTAACCGTCTCGGACCTAATCTCCTGCAGATATCTCGATGCGTTAGCTACCATGCTCCACTCTTCCGGCCGCGCAGCCTACTCTACACAGAACGGCTAGGACAGCTCTGCTGCAGTGCCTCCTCCGGATCCAAGTCTAGCCGAAGGACCACTCAGCCAAGTCGCGTCCGGGTGCAGAGGTACTCGCAAAAGGGTAGCAATGTGTTCTCGGTCAGCGATAATGCGGACGTGCTGCGCAAACGGATCAGCTTCTCCGGCACCTCGGGCAAGGCGCCCAAGATCATGCCCATTGGGCTGATTACACCGGAAACGGCGGACGGCAAGGATCTGAAGATTGTCATTGTGCCTTTGGATATTTCCGCCATGGATGCCAACGAACTCAAGGATACGCTGGAAACCATCAACAAGTTGCGCTTGTACGCCAACCACATCGAGACCTTCTCCAACAGCATGGTCGAGGAATACGGTGCTTTGAACGAGGCCGTGCAGGAAGTGGAATCGGCGGATCAGCCCCAAGGAGGGGCTGGAGAACGCCACTCGTGGGAATCCTACCCAGCACACGTCAACGCTGTGGGAACTGCATTGGATGCGGGTCAGGGTGTCAGCTTACCGATGCAGCGCCAGGCGGCAGTCAATAGTTGCCTCCAAAACGCTCTAAACAGCTCAGCTGCCAGCTCTGCTCTGAAAACCACCAAGTCTATGTCGGCCATGGCCCAGATGGAACCCATCCTTGGGTCTACCAACCAGGAGAGCGACTTCGTCGAAGAGGTGCGTGTGGATGTGCCGCAGGATTTGAGCAATCGGCTTAACGATATGGCCGTTTCGTCAATGGAGCTGTCTTTCGAAATGGACATGACCAACCTGCGGCAGGCTCTCGAAAGCAAGGGTACGAACGCCGTAACTCCGCAGGATCCCATGATCTGTATGCACACAAAGGTGGAATTGGATGCGCCTGGTACCGTAGAGCAAACGCTGCCGCTTAGGTTCAACGCCTTGATCTCGGGCGTAGTGGAGATCGATACCAAGAAGCTAAGTCCCGCCCAGCTGACGGAGGACAAAATGCCGGCCTTCAACGATGACCTCACCTCGCTGGCTGCCAACCTTTGCAGCACCGCCTTGGAGAAGGGATTCGCGGGGAACTCTAAATCCTCGGACACCTACATCGCCGACCTGGAGCTGACCAAAGATGAAGAGACCATTCCTACCAGGATCATCGATACTTCCTATATGTCGGCGGCTAATCAAGTTGGTCACGTACGTGAAGCCCAGCAGAAGATAGCCGAGGAAGCGTGTGCAATGCCAGGGACCCAGGAGCAAGAGGTGCCCGTTCCCGTGGACAAAGACGGCTGCAAGCATCCACCCGTTAAGCCCAAGCGCAAATGTCCTGGAAAATGTCCGCTGATCACAGATCCTTGCAAGGACGATCCCTGCGAGCGACCTAAAAAGAAGAAGACTCCAAAGAAGGCTTTAAAAACCACTGAGATCACGTGCAAGGCAAAGAGCTCTTGTGGCAAGGATAAGAAAAAGGATCCTTGTGGCAAGAAGGACAGTAAGAAAAAGGATCCTTGTGCTAAGTTCAAGTCCGGGGAAAAGAAAGATCCGTGCGCAAAGAAAAAGGATGATCCGTGCGCCAAGAAAAAGGATCCGTGTGCTAAGAAAAAGGAAGATCCGTGTGCCAAGAAGAAGGATCCATGTGCCAAGAAGAAGAAGGATCCGTGTGCCAAGAAGAAGAAGGATCCCTGTGCCAAGAAGAAGAAGGATCCTTGCGCAAAGAAGAAGAAGGATCCTTGCGCAAAGAAGAAGAAGGATCCTTGCGCAAAGAAGAAGAAGGATCCTTGCGCAAAGAAAGACAAGAAGAAGGATCCCTGTGCCAAGGGCAAAAAGGATGACAAGAAAAAGAAGGATCCGTGCGCCAAGTTCAAGAAGGGTGGTGCTGGTGGCGGCAAAGGCAAGTGCAAGTTCTCTACTCTTGCTAACCATCCGGATGCAAGCAGGCGCTACTTGTCCACCGCCTTAAGCCAAGTCTTCCGTGAGCCGAATACTGTCTCCAGGGGTCCCCGCTTCCAAGTCTACTCCACTCTTGTGCGCCGTCACTATCGTGTCCCAGTTCCAAAGATTGCGAGCTCTTGCACGTGTTCCCTCTGCAAGAGTCGGCTGCTCCACAAGGCAGTTGCTCCTGCACGATTCACCATCAACACGGCCCTCTTGAGAAGACGCTTCGGTGGACTTACGGGAAGGATCTCCGGAGGAGCCCTACTGCAAAGCAGCTGCCGCGGATACGCCGAGGAGGGCAAGTCCGGCGGCAAGTGTGGCGAAATGAAGCCAAAGTACCCCATCAATCGTGGCAAGGACATCAAGGAGCGAACGGGACTGCGCGAAGATTGCTTCGACAACCACGGCGACTGTCCCAAGAAGAGCTGCACCGGCAAATGCGCCAAGGTCAAGTTCCCGAAGAAGAAGTGCGATCGCAAGAAGAAAAAGGATGGTGCGTAGTCATAGATGTGCAGTTGCTCAGTTTCCTCAGGTCAATCATCTCTTCCCAAGACAGAATAGGCAGTCTCTTGGCCCGGAGTTCCATTTCCCAGTTGCAGAGAAGATCATTAAGCACACGGGTTTGTTGCCATCCATCCTCTGAAAAGCGCACTGTGGATGATCAAGCTCTAACGATGCGCATTACGAATCCGTACGAGATCAGCGTGGTTCCTGTTTCCAAGCCTCGACCAAAGGATTTTGGTAAGTTTATCCCTTGATTGAGCGCATGGTAATCAATCTTTCGTTTCTTATAAAGACGTCCTTATCCGGACGGCCTCAGTGGCCATCTCGAACTCGGACATCCATGTCTATGAGAACGGCAATCGGGACATAGAAGGCATGTCCCTGGGCCATGATGCAACGGGTGTCGTGGAGGAACTCGGTCGATGCGTCCATCATCTGCACGTGGGTGACCGCGTCGTCATGGAGTCGGCGTTGTCCTGCGGCATCTGTGACCTATGCAAGAAGGGCCTGTACAACATGTGTTCCGGATTGGTGTACAACGGCTTCCTAAGCACCTACCAAACGCATCCGGCCGACCTCTGTCACCGGCTCCCCCCGTGCATCAGCTTGGAGGAGGGTGCCCTTACTCAAACACTAGCTTTGGGATGTCAGGCGTGCTTCAAGGCCAACGTCACGCCCACCAGCAATGTCCTCATCCTGGGATCCTGCCCAACGGCAGTGGCGGCCGGCATATGCGCGAAGGCCATCGGAGCCAAGCGTGTGGCCATAGCCGGATGTATGGCTCCGGCTCTGGATGTGGTCGCCCGGGACTTCGGTTTCCAAGCAGTGGAGTTCGACAGCAACGCCCTGTTCGGAGAGGTCCTTGAAGCCATCTACAGCAAGTTCAAGGAGTGGCCGGACTGCGTGATTAACTGCTCCATCTCCGCAATGACGATGAATCTGGCTGTCATGGCCTTGCAGCCTTGTGGGGTGTGTGTGCTGGCCGAGTGCGATTCGGAGTGTGCCAGCTTCAATGCCCTGGACGTTCTGATGAAGAACATCCGCCTTGTGCCCAGTTTTCGTTCCGCCAATATGTGGGTACACCAGAATTCCCATAACTAACCCTTTACTTACTCTGGTATCTCCATCTCCACAGGTATCCGACGGCTCTTGAACTTATGCACTCTGGCCGAGCACAAATGCATAAGTTCATAACGGCAAAGTACCTCCTGAGCGAGGCGGAGGAGGCCTTTCGAACTGCCCAGCACGAGTCCAACATTGGGCTGGGTAAGGTGATTGTTAACTGTGCGGAGGAAGTAGACGTCTAGGAGAATCAGAGGCAGACGTTCCATGCCGGCACTAAACAAATCTATGGTGGTAAAAGCTCTGTGAAAGCCGTAACAAAAACTTCTTATTATAATTGAAGTTAATTCTGTGTTTTCGACTTTAAATTCGAAATTAGAATAAAACAATTGAGTTAAGTATTGCAACAAAAATCTTCTCGCATTTTACTAGGTTCTGCGTGGGCCCATAAAACAATAAATTTGAAAGTGCGCTCATTAAAATACTTTAAATAAATAATATTTTTCAACAGCATTCTAAAATCTATCCTCTCTGGCTCATAAGATTGGTTTATGTGTATACATACATTCATTTATATATTTATGTAAATATATTTTATAAAATTATTATTGTACTTCGCTGCTTACAACAAACTATTTTACAATTTTACAAGAACGAAAGTGACTCGCTAAAGGTGTGTATGCTACGGGGGAATCAATATACACAAAATAAAAATGAAAACATAAGCTAACAACAATTACAATAACGCATACATGTTTAATTTTTAAGCATTTGACTACATCGCACACTTTGGAACATTGCTTGGACTGAGTATAAATAATAATTAGAGCTAACTAATAAGAATTAAAGATATGCCATTTCATATGTGAGTGTGGAACTAATTAATGGACTGTTTTGTGGTTTCGGTTGCCTATGGTACTGCCGCTTTGCTGATTCTTTGTTCCCTTGTTGGTTTTAGATATAGCTTTCCAATTACTATCGATCGTTTGGCCAACAGTAGTAGTTACATACATATATACTAGTAGAATCGTCAGAGTCTAAAATAAAAACCACTCGCTCTGCCACCCGGAGCATCCGATCATGAAGGTAGTTTGTCTTTTGCTATTCAATCGCCTCCTCTTCTCCTGTTAGTTGTCATGTATCTGCATTTCCAATTCCACATCCGAGAGATTTATCTGACGCATTGAATTAATGAACATGTAGCGCGAAAAGTAAATGTAGAGCCAGCGAAACCATCGCATCTGCGACTGATGCTCCTTCATCGCACTCCGCACAATGGCGGCTTCCTTCCAATTCAGAATGCACCTGTAGGGAGCACTCATGTTAGAATTTGTATATGAATTCAGCATCTCTTCATACCAATGCGTAGACATAAAGCACGTGCATAGCAGGTCCAAGATGGATAGATATTTTCTGACCACATTGATCGAGTCCAAGGTGTAGAATTTGCAGTCTGCATTGGGAAGGTACATAAAAAATTGCTGTATACTATAATATCTAAGACTATTAATAGCGACAAATGCAGCGATGGGCACGCCAATTAACGTGCACCCATTGTTTGCATCCGTCGCCGCCCGCGTGACTCACACGCCTCCTCACCTTTGGGCAAAAGGTTGGCCAAACAGAGCGAGGCGGCCGCGTAATACACGGCACAATGGTTCGGATGCGAGCTGACGCCATCCCGATCAAAAGTGAATATCGCCTGGATGTCGAGGCTTTCGATCGTGTGCAGTATCAAACTGGCCACCGCATCTGGGCGCCAGTCCACATAGGGGTCGTCCGGCAGGTTGGTGGCATTCATCAGCACGATGTTGGACTCGGGAATACCCAGTTTGGAGCACGAGCGCCACAGTTCCTGACGCCTCACCTTTGCCTTGTGCTCGAAGTTGCCTGTGAAAGAATGCAATGGATTAATACAGGTCATTTCTAAAGGATAAGGTTATCATGGCTTGATATAAAATAACGATGTCATCCTAAGATCATCAGCACACATTTCAAACACGTACAATCAATATTTGCAATACATTTAATTACGTTTTTGGATCTGTTTATAGCCAGTGCCAAAAATATAATATAATCCAATGGGTTAACCCTTAATTTCGATCCTAAATTAACTACGTAGCTACAATTATTGGGAATCGGTGATCTATTGACAGGATGTATACTTGTTTTTTAATAGAATATCTATATTGTGACTATTTAGGGAAATCAGTCGTATATTAATATCAGATTTGTAACGAGTAACATAAATTATGCCCGTGAATCATTGCAAAAATTCAAATTGTAATAGTAGTATGGCTCAGAATATATACGGTTTGAAAGAATGAAATATTCCTATCGACCCTGTTTGACAGGGAATTGATTGGTGGCTAACACAAAGAGAATGTTCTGCCCATATGGAAGCAATAAAGCTAAATCAGATTCGCTACTGATTTCGATACGTGTACTTTCGTTTAATGCTTCCAAGTCTGTTGGTGGTATGAGAATGATGTCACTGCTGGTGGTCTCACCGTTGGACAAACAGAGTATGTACACCTGGCAGCCTTGGCGCTGCGTCAGCGAGTAGATCAGCGGTCCGAAGAACATGCACTCGTCATCAGGATGGGCGGTGATCAGCAGGACGCGCTCCATGTACGCCGTCTTGGGCAGCCGGACGCTACGCAGCCGTAGTCCGGACTGCAGGGCCTGCTTCAGGCCGCCAGGACTCCGATTGGCATCCGGACTTGGGTTCAGCTCTTCCCCCTCGCCCGACCCGGCATTGCTGTTGTCGTCGCTGTGGTGGGCTTCCATTCCCGATCCGGATCCCGAGAGCCAGAAGGTGAGCTTGTAGAGGCCCAGGCATACTAGCAAGTACACCGCACAGGCGATCAGTACGTGCTCCAGTGCTTCGGCGGATGATGACCTGATACGGCAGTAGATGGCCTGCGGATTGGGGACGAGCTGCTGCACCTGCTGCTGCAGTTGGCGCCACGGGGATGTCGATGCAATGCTGCTTGATATGCTGGCCACGTACTCGATCAGCCAGTTAAATCTCATCGCTCATTGCGTCCGGCCAAGGGCAAGATTTTTGGCGAGAAATTCTTCACCAAAAATGGACATGCAGCGCAATTGGGCAGCGAGGAAAAGCGGAAAAGCGGCGATAACGGTGCTCGTGCGGTTACTTAAACTATTTCACTAAGTGGATGTGTTTCTTAATCGGTAGTTTAATACTTGGAAACGTTTCGTTACGAGCCCGCGCGCCGCCTAATCGGCTAATCTCTGCATTTTATTCGAAAACTTTACGCGTTTTCGACTTTCGGGGGCAGCAGCTAGAGATGGGCAACTGGCGTGGTGCGTGGCAGGTGCGTGACTCACGCCGACTGAATCACGATTTCCGTTACGCTTTTAATCAGCTTGTCAGGTGCGCCGTGCAACTACAATGGTGTAATTATCTAATTAGCACTCGAATAAAATGATAAACTCTTTTCTGCCATTCATCGTTCGCTGGCAAATTCCCATTCGTGAGAAAGAATCAGTCCATCTCTAGCGGTCAGCTGTTGGACAAAGAGCCCAGCACAACGGGTACTCTTGTCACTATTTAAAATGTATTTTATAAAAACTTATATGCAACCGTTTGTTCTAAAATATAAATTATTTTACATTTTATAACAAAATCAATAATAATTTGTAAGATGTCGAAACTAACTAAATTTCTATCAACAAGTTTATAAAGAATATAAAAGAACTTAGATATTCACATTTATACAAGAACAACTAACAACATTCTATGAACCATGATTGCATGGAGTTTTAAAAATTCGCCAATAAGAATACCTTTATGGCGTGAGCTCGCGTTTTTATGTTGTTACTGCATATCGTGACTTGAGCGAACACCCCTTACGTTGGCATGCTCTTCTCGAAAAATACCGGAAAAATACTGCCGAAAATACAGGGGCCGCTCTCTTCTCTTTGAATATGCAGTCTGAGGTTTTTTTATTTTGAATAAAATTTAAAGTCACTAGTTTCTATGAAAACAAGCACCTAATTAGCCTTTGACCGTGTGATTCGAGTGCCCGAGAGCCAACCGCCCGCCCCCGACCGCCCAAGCACCGTGGGCAACCTAAGAAGAGCCCCAAGCAATTGGAGGAAATTGATCAAAGACGACAGCGTGCCGCAAACCCCAAAAGAGAGCGAATCCCAGTGCGAGGTGCATGCAGCACGTTGTAATTAGGTTAGCAGCATACAGCAGCACCACATAACACGACAACATGGCACAGCAGCAGGGCATGGACTCGGCCTTGTTCGAGCGACGACTGAGGCCGGTCTATGGTGAGTGTGTCCCCGAAACGGAGGACTCCAACTACCGGGTGCAGGCTCACAGACTAACCCCAATCCTCTACAGACAACCTGGAGGTGGGCAACAACCGCAAGGCTCTGCAGGAATCCGAGAAGTTGCTCCGCAAGCATCCCACCCTGCTCTGCGCCCGGGCACTGAAAGGCCTATCCCTCCTCCGGCTGGGACGCTATGACGAAAGCCACGGATGCCTCCAGACCGTTGCCGAGGAGAAGCCCACGGACGACTCCACGCTGCAGGTGCTATCCTTCTGCTACCGCGAGATGGAACAACGTACGTATGGTTGACAACAGAGCCCACGTGGAGCCAGAGTTTGCTTGCGATTAGGTTCAGACATTTGGGTTGCCAACTCAAGGTTGCCTATTTAAGGTTGCCAACATACTACTTAAGCCTAGGTACGTTACCTCTACTGGAAGCTTTTTAGGAGTATGATGGAACCAACTAAAACCAAATATACTAGGCACCCGTGTATTACGCACTGTTTTACCACGAACTCGGTCATACTCGGTTACAATTTAGCTCTCTTGGCCCTTTGAACCCTATTCCTACACTGTAAAGCCATTGAGAATTACTGATTTTTGATATAAGGCTCCCACTTAAGGAGATATGTTGAAACGATTATTACAGACAGGATCTTGGCTTTACCAATTTAACCAATGTTAAGCTGTTTATTAATGAACCACCATTTGTAACTTAATACACCCCTTCAAATGTAAGAATATGAAGAAATTCTCTTTTGTTGCCAGTTTCAAATGCAATTTACTTAAGCCCTATATCTTTCTACAAACTAATCCTCAGTTAGAACCAAGGATTAAGTGAATGGTTAAGAAAGCTTTCTTATTCTAGTTTCACATTTTTTAGTTCTAGTTTTTGAAATTTGAAAGCTCATGTATGCCTAGGTTTTTTTTTTACCACGTCCAAATATGATATTTTAAAAATCAAAATGCTGACTTTTCTGAAATTGCAATAACATCGTTTGCCCACGTTTAGAATAGTGAAAAAAGTTCTAATTTAAAAAATATAAGACATTGAAGATAATATCGGTCTTATCAGAGAATCAAACGTTAAATCTTATTAATA